AATATTTGTATAAGAATCTTTTCTGGAAGATTCAGCACCTCACCACTTTGTACAGAATATGGCCATTCACAAGCTGAGTGTTATCGCAAAAGTGGGCAAAGTTGCAGGCGATTTGCAGAAAGCGGAGCAGCGTACCAAAGTTTTGATGTTGTAACGTAAAATGGGATTCCATGTGGGTGGATGAATGTCAACTATGTTTCTTGTTGCACACGGTATGCCTAAACTGCGACAAGGGAGTATTCATGATGTCCTTGGCGACAACTGATGTTTGGAAAGCCAATGGCTTTGTATACACTTTTTTGTTAAATGCCTATAACATGGTTGCACAACTTGTCTGAATTAATTGTGCCTTTGAGCCCGTGGTCGAGCTTGCGTTCCTCATTTGAAAGGTTTTCGTGGAAGAGCCGGAACCATTGCAGGGTGTTGTCGGAAGTCAATGCTTCTTGCAGTTGTTTGGAGTTGTTGACTTGCACGTCAAGGTGTTGGTGTTAGCGGTTCGGTTGGGTTAGGCAAGAACACCACCCGCGCCCTTTCTCCTAACCTACTTCTCCATGTTCACCTGCGTGTATTCCCAGCCCTCTGTTGTGACACTGTCTCTGCAGAAGTTGCCGCTGTTTTCCCACCCGCCCACCCACCCACCCTGGTTGCTGAAGAACTGGGTATGTTGGGCAGGGCTGGGCCTGTTGGCTCTGATGATGCTTCCCCCGGTTTCATGCAAGAGCTATGCGCGCCCCTGCTTGTGTACAGGGTTCTGATGAAGAGGTTTGGTGTAGAGGGCGGAAATCCTGAGAGGCTGAACCCCTCGAGCTAAAAGAGTTATGTGCATGTGCAGGAGTTGTGTGTGCTGGATTTCCTTTGTCATGAAAGCATACCATATGACCTTTTGTCGCCTCGTGCGTTCATTCGCAGGTATGCAATCTGGAGTTTACCTGGGCTGAAGGTTTGGCAACGGGCTCAGAAGGGTCTCACACAAATCCTGAGACATGAGCATTGAGCAGGATCTTGTACAGCCAGAACTTGTTTCCTGCATCCTCATTTTGTTATTTTGCTGATGTCAAACTTCTGGAATTTTGGGCTATGCTAGCAGCGGCAGTGGCAGTTGTGTTGTTGTGGTGGTGGTGCTGGTAGTAGTCGTGATCATCTCGGTCATGGTGCTGGTGATCGTCATGGTGTTTGCTGCTGCTGCTGCTGCTGCTGCTGCTGCTGCTGCTGTTGCCGAGGCTTCCGTGTTTGTTTATGTCATGACAAGCACTGCGAAGATTTGTGAGAGTTCGCATGTTCAGAACCTGGGGACCGTGCTGGTCGCTGTTGGTGATGGTTTGGTGATTCCCAAGATGAAAGAGCCGAAGCCTCAACAAGCAGAGCATTTGAAGCTTGAAGCCTTGGGCACACGTTCAGATCCTGCCTGGAATCCGAAAAGCATTGCTGCAGGTTCAGTTTGCTACACAAGCAGCATCCAATGCCAGCACCCTAATTGAGCGTGTCTGATAACAACTCGGAGTTCGTGTGATGTGCTCAATGGAGGACCTATTTGATGCTTTGTTGGGCGCCTGTAGAGGCTCGAAGCAGACAACACTCAAGCCACTCAAACTGCTGACTGCATTCCCCCGCCGGCGATCAGGCAAGCTACGCGCTAACTTTGTTTGGTGCTCTTATCTGAGATGCGCTTTGTTGAGGGAGGACGTCAAGCATGTTGTGACGTGGCCAGCTTTTTTCAGGTCTTCACTGCGGTTTCTGCTCCTGCAACAATGCCTTGTCCAAAGTCTGTGCAGAATGCCACGCCGCAGTGCCGCAGCGCATAAGCGCGCCGCAGTGCAGCTTTTGGAGTCAGGCCCAGCCTGAACGTGGTCTTGCTCCTGGCATCAACCATCGTGCGCATTGCGGCTACTGTTGTTGTTGGAGTGCTATGCTCAGCATTCTGTCCACTTGGTAGTTTCGGACAAGCTGAAAATACCCGATAAGGCAGCCCTGGGCTATGCAGCAGGTTTCCTCATCGAGAAGAGGAAGAAGGCTAAATTCAGTTCGAGAGCATGGTGTGTTCGAGTACATACCGCGGCAGGCGACTCTGTTTAGCCACAAGGTCTTCACCAACGAACCGGCCTGTCAACTTGGCTTTCTCACAGCTCCATCCCAGCCTGCGCCTCGACTTGCGACACAGCCAAGGTCGAGGCTTTTCTCATGCTGTTGGCCGGAGACCCTTTGAGATTTTTCTGCAGCTTTGAGTCTGCAAGCTTTTGTGCAGGCCATTGCCCTTTGCGCCTACGGGCTGGGAAGCAGCACAAAGGGCAGGCCGTCGGTGCCACAGAGCTGTCAAGAGCACAAGAGCACGGCAGAAGGACAGTAAAGGCCTTCAAGCATCAGGACACTGCCGCTCTTCTTGGGCATGAACCTGAGGAGTTAAGAAGATCGTTATTGCTTAGAGCGCTTTTCCCTTGATTCATCCACGTTTGCCCACAGATGGCCTGCGCACTCAGGATACGGTTCGCTCTTCCAACCAGAGCTGATGGTCATTGTGGCAGACTTGGCCAGATTTGCTCGCGGTGTGGGTACCACTTCCGTTCCTTGACCTCAGGTCACTGGGTCAGTCTTTGCAATGTTCTGCGAGAAGCATTGCCCGGAAATCCTCGTGGAGGATTTCTTGTGTGTCGTAATTGCACTGCATGTCACCACCGCGCAGCTTAGTGTATCTTCAGGTGAGTAACATGTTTACTGAAGATGCTGCAGTTCCGACTATAAGGTATAGATTAGATACTGTTTGTTGTAGCTTTTTTAGGAGATTATTTTGTTCTTACTTGGTTTAACCACCAGAAAACATCACTCAGGTGGGTCGGTCGCTTGTGACGTTTGCAGGCGTTCACTGCGAAATCCCTGCCGGTTTGGAGCTGCCGTTTTTCGAACCAACCCAGAACCGCCCGTACAACTCTAAGCTCTGAAGTGTGATCAAACCAAACTGTCAGCCCTCAACCCAAATCCTGAACAATCTCAAACACCAATTATTAGTCAAATACTGTACAGCTCCCACACGTAGACAGCCCGCAGCCTCAAACCTGATAATTAATCCTAAGCGGGTGGGAGCTCGCTGAGGAAGAGAAAAAAACAAATCACTTGGGATGAGATTCGTTCGGGCTCTTAGGAGGCTGGAAGGGAAGAGAACTCTCGGATCCCGGCTGTCGTGGCCTCCCAATCTCGCCGCAAGTGATCGTTTTTTGCTTCTTGAGTTTGAATCTTTAAACTCATCTCCTCCTAAATGTTTTTCTGGTGTCACTTGGCCGAATTAGCTGTGAAAGCTTAGGAAGCTTGCAATGCATTTGTTGGTGGGTGCTTCTGCCTTGAATTACACGACACCAACCCAAACCATATCAACCCCAAGCCCAAAGAACCCCGAAGCCTAAAAACACGAAACCCTAAACACCCTAAACCCGAAAATCACCTAGAAACCTTAAACCCCTAAACCCTGACATACCTGAACCATACAAACCCTAAGCACTAAACAGTCCAAACCTCCGAGCATCCTGAACCCTAAAAGCTTCCAAACCGTAAACATGCCTCAGCCTTAAAATCCCTAAATCCTGAAAACCCTACGAGCTCCAAACTCTCAATCCAAAACATTCCAAGCCAAGAAACCCAAGACCGTTCAAGCAAAACCAAAAAGATCCCAAGCCCCAACAAACCATAAACACCCTTAACTAAACCAAAAAGTCTTCAACCCTAAAAATACTGAACCCTAAAGATCCTACTGCCAAGAAAACACCTAAACCCCAACTACTCTAACCGTAAAAGCCCTCAACCCTAAGAGCCCTAGACCCCAAGAACCTTGAACCCCGAAAAACCCCAAACCCTAAACACCCTAAGCTGTAGAAACCCGCAGCACCCTAAACCCTGGGAACCCTAAAGCCTAAGCCTAAAGCTTGAAGCCCAAAACATGAAGCACACAATGACAAATACTCTAAACTATCAGAAGCCCTAAACCCTTCTGACGCTAAACGCCTAAAAAGGCTAAACCCTAACAACCCTAAACGCCGAAAAACCTTAAATCCTCAAAGCCCTCAAAGCCCTAAAGCCTAAAACTCTTTACTCTGGAGAAGTCCCAAGACCCCTTAACCCTAAAAATAACCCTACGCCCGGTGTGGGACGTAAAGCAGCAGCCCCTAAGAGCCCGTTGCCCAGGTGCTTACCCCCATGTCTGGTAGCCTAGACTGCGGCTATGCAGCTTGGGAGGTGAGTGGGCAGAACGATCAGGTAGAAGGTCATTCACGCCCTGAACCGTAATAACCCTTTCGCACTCGTCCGTTTCTCGTCCCAAGTGATCTGGTTTTTCTCGCTTCTGACCCATCCTAGGCCCTAAACCCTGAAAAATGCCTGGGCCCTACTTTTTCAACAATTTCGAAGCCTAAGGCTTGAAGCCTGAGGCTTGAAGCCTGAAACCTAAACACACCCGAAGCCCTGCGCAAGTCGAACCTCGAGCCCCCTGAAGCCTAGACAGTCACCCTAAGCGCCTAACCAGGAATGCCCTCATGTTTTCCCCCAGACTTGTAGGGTTCGCATCTTCAGGGTGCTTGGAGGGCAACGCTCGGAAGAAATTGATAAGTCAAAATTCAGCTGGCATTGCGATGTGAGGAGTAGGTTTTCCACATAAACACAATAAATTCCAGGCAGGGGCTCAGAACTGCATTTCCTTCTCAGAGCCGGCGCAAGAATCTGGAGCAGCCCGGATTATGACAGCCTGAGTGGGTTGAGAATTTTGTTTTGAAGCTTGGTGTGGCTTGGTGGCGGGGCGCGTGCTGCTGATGCTTTGAACTCCAGACAGGACCAAATAGCACAAGCAACATGCATGAACAATGAATGATAACTTTGATTCCAAAAGTACGCCAGAGACTCATTAGGAATGGCAGACTTGCAAAACAAAGTGAGATGAGATCGGTCTGGCCCCGCTGAGCCAGACAGTGGGAATGGCACAGCACCAAATGAGATGAATGTGAACGAAATGATGCCCCCCAAGCTATTCCCGCAGGCATCCATGAGCGGGCAAAAAGTGGGTGTGTTTCCTGGATGGGGTGGGGGAGCTTCGTTGGNNCGTTGGACAGGGCTCCCCACCCCTCTGCCCCCCCCCACAGAATGAAACAACCGCAACATGGAATCAAATAACAATAGCAAGCGCGTCGGTAATGACCCCTTTCCTGTATGTACAACAGGTTGCACGCGCACACATTCGAATCAACTAGATGGTACGGTCATGAATATAAGGCTAGCATGTGCCAGGTCGGCGTGGACCCGTGACAAGTGTCACCTCCTGAACACGACCACGCCCCCGCACTAGAAAGCGCCACACATTTGCGTGGTAAACAAGCAGCTGTAATTTCACCTCAGGAGGCACGCGCAGGAAGCTTGCCAAAGGGCACTGGCGTCATCCCTCATGCCCAAAGCATGACCCTTAAACATCTCGAAGCCCCAGGCCCAGGCATCCCCAGGCCAGAAAGTGCGCTGGAGCGAAGCGGCACCAGTTGGCAGTGTTACAGGTTCGGAATCCAGCGAAAGGCACTGCAAACTCTGGGCCCGACGAGTTCCAGTACCATGGCGCTGCCGCATGCGCGAACTATCAACTTCCCGTGGGATCAGGGTTTCATTCGAGAGGTCTTGCTTGCGCTCGAATCAGTCTCGCCTGTGACCAGAAGTTCCTACCCGTACAGAGTGCGGCTAGCGCTGCTGCGTCGAATGTAAGCAGCCTTGTTTTTCATTCCCTTTAAGCAGCGCTAGGCTGTGAGTTGGGGGCAGCATGCCCCAATTGGGTCTACGACGGCCGCAATGCAGAGCCTGCAACACACCCACTAAGCCAAAACGAGACACTGGCTTTTGCACAACTAAGAGTCCTCCAGCAAGATCCAGTCAACGGACCCAACCAGCTTGACCACAACTTACCTTGACCCTCACTTGGGTGAGAAGCCCCAAGCTTACATCCTGATGCATCAGAATATGTTACCGGTGTCCGAAGCCAGGTAAGGTTTTCTCTATTGCTCAACTTTGGGGTGTGACCTCATGTACTGAAGATTCAGGAGTTGGCTAAGAAGTGTGCGTGGTAACGCCTCATGGAATGCGAGTTTTTCGATCTGGTCGCAGGTTGAAACCATTATGGGTGGTGTGTGGGTGTTTGCCCAGTGTGAGACTTAGTGTCACATGTGTCATGCATGCGCAAGACTTCAGTAGGCAGGGACTTTTGCCGAGTGACTTGCCATTGGCTTGAGGTTGATTCTGTTTGCCATGCTTGGCAGCAAGACGAGCCTTGTTCTTAGTTGAATGTTCTGGTACCTGGGAGGTTGCGCATGAACTGGTATGATCCTAAGGTCCCTCCATTTTCCCGAACCTTGTCAAAGTGCTTCCGATCATGGCCCAGCTCCTACATCTCCTACTCCTTTTGTGCTTTCAGAAAGGGACGTTGGGCCTTCTCCTGCACTTCCTGCATTGGCTTCTTGGGAGGCTGTAGGGCTGCTTGCTCGGTTTGCTGGAGTTCTGGTTAGCGCCGGGCACTTGATGCTGCAAGTGCTGCACAGGTTGAACAAATTCCGGCAGCATTGAATTTCAAGTACTTTAAGGGGTGGTTTTCCAGCTTACGCCAAAAAGTCACCCGTTGGACTGAGCGTGGGATCATACTATGTCAAAATGTTTCAGTGAAGAATGTCAGGTTTTGAATTCATTCGGCCAACATCCGCCATCAACCCCAAGTGCAATGCATTCCCGCACATCATGAAACTTCACAAGAAAAGGTAAGGCAGCCGATGCATGTCAGAGTGGCCTGCACCTTGAGGAGAAGAGCCCTGGTGCCAAGGTTGCCGGACATGAGCAGAGCTTGACTTCCCAAACTTGTCCCCGCATGCTACACCTAGCAGCATGTGTCGAAGGATCACGGTGACACGGGTCAAAATGGCCAGAGCAGTTTTTCTGCTGCCCACCTCGCTCCTCACCAGAAAGTCCTCCCGTCGTCACCCCCACGCAGACGTGTCTGGCTTCGTCCAGTTATTTTACATTTTCCTGGAAAGCATTGCCCGTCCTTGCTTTCGAACTGAATGCTGAAATGCGCAAGATGAGGTGAAAGCAACTGCTGAGCATCGTGGAGCTCAGAACCAAAGCAATGGGCTCAGGTTCTGAATTTTTAGATCGCTCTAGATGGGATATTGTGAGATGAGGGTTGGCTTTTGGAGAAGTTGGCTCATAGCAGACATGACGAGCATTTGCACCAGCTGATAGAAGTGGCCCAGGATGGCAGCAGATGATAGCAGGCAAGGCTTTATTTTCGCCTATGATTCGAATCCGAGCGTTGTTTTTCGCTGATCTGATATTGCTGAGTCTTGGATTTGGCGCATCATTTGTCTGCTGCTGCGTTCGGCCTGTAATGCTTAAACAGTCCGTATTGACACCTACTGCAAAAGAAAGATATGCAAGGGCAGGTCGTGGAATGGAAGCATGCAAGAAGACAGTGCATAAAGGGGTAAAGCGGAGGAGGTGAGAGGGCTTGAGGCTTTCAAGCTTTTGCAGCGCAGGCCCTTGATTTGAGGCGGGGGTTTGGCTGACATAGACAGCCGCGCAAAAGCTCTATCACCCGAGAACTCGTGAAAGCTGTTGGAGCCCCACCAACCCCCGCCACATTCTACCAGTTTTGTCCATGTCCGCCTCGAAAGTTCTTCACGTTGTGTACAAACTCTCCAACCTGAAGCCGCCTACTGTGCCTGGAGTGCAGATGCGTGCTTCTGCTTCCTTTCAGTCCTTCCACGGGTTCATGGCCTCAGTTAGGGTTTGCATCCTGGTAGCAGAAGTGGAATCAACCTAACCCTGAGGCCACCATCCAGGGCGCACTTGGTGCGGTGCCCGTGAACCAGCGCTTCTTTCAGGAGCCGAAATTGTGTTTCGGGACGCGTTTCTTGGGTTCTTCCCCAGACAAAAGGACGTGGCGCGGGAAGATCGAAGCGAGGCGTGCAGCTGTGGGCTGCCAACGTGCGTCGGTAACGCCAGCAGAGCTGCAGGCTCGCGACTTCATTTTTACGGCTGCCAGGTTATACATCTTCTGTGCCTTGGCTGGATTGTTGAAAAGCGTGCTGCGAACCATCAGGCTCTGATGTGCTCAGGTATGTCCATTGTCGGGATGTTCCTCTTAAATACCTTCGGGCCGGTGCTGTTGAAGGACATGCAAGCGGCTCACTAATTCTTAGTCTAACCGGTGCTCTTAAGGAATCGGAGAGCAGACCAGCGGAGGAGGAAGGCCAAAGCGGTTAGCAACCTTCGACTTATAACTTGCGCAACCTTCCATGCACGTCAGACTCTGTTGATCATCGTCATGTAGTTCAGACTCATCGATCTCTCTGCCAGAAATGATCCATGATCGAGATGCACCCAATCTCGGACAGTTTGGGTCTCATCTCATGCTTTGACGCTGTCCCATTGAATTTTCCAACTGGCACGTGTCAGGTTTGACGCAGGATGTCTGCAGGATGCGGATGAGCCAGATGAGAAGGTCATCGAGTGGGCAACGGCGCTGGGCCAGGCAAAGTCTTTGCAAGGTTCAAGGATCACTTTTTTTTCTCGGGCCATCCATGGTACGTGGAGGAGTACGACATGGACGCGGGTGAGGTACTGGCTCTCAGTTTGTTGCCTCTGTTTCGCTGTGGGTCATGGAAATGTGACTTGATTGACTTCACAACTCGCCTTGATGTCATTTTTCAGATTGTTGGCTAGCAGTTAGTTACCTAGTTGGCAGCATCCCGCACAGTGAAGCAGTGCCGAAACGCGTTGCCGACAGAATGGAACAGCTATGGCTCGGTTTGCCCAACAAGGGCTTGTGAAGTGCGTGTTAATGAAGTGGCTCATGGGAGATCATGGGCGACTCGATTCAGCCACATTGCGCGTGACTCTCCGGTCGACTGCAGAGACTGGTCATAATCGAAGGACAGCAATAAGGTTTGGGGGCCTCAAGATAAGCGACAACGCGGAAAATGACGCACACGGTCCGGACCATTATAACAATGCATTGCATGAGCTTTTGTTCCGCGGATGCGCTGTGTGACGAGCAGCGACATCCGAGAACGGGGTCCTGTGAGGGAAGCCCAGGCTCTGACGCAAAGCATACGATGTTCAAGAGTTGCTGCAGGCGGGGCCGGCATTTTTGTAAATAAGCTGGGCCACCCAACCTTCTTGCAGGATTATTGGAGCTTGAATGTTTTGAGCATGAGGAGTCAGTGTACGCTCTTCCTGAAGAGCACTTTTCAGAACAGACGCAATGGCTAAGAGCAGAGGGCTCCGTTGGTACTTGGCATCTCTGCTGGTGCTGTTTCAAGACGCAGGAGGTGTGGGAGATCACGTGCGCCGACATCTTTGAGTGATTGTGAGCCAGTGCACGGACTCCAACAGTGCTCTCAAGTTGAGGGGCCACGTGGAACCGAGGTCTTCCTTCCTCCGTAAGCATGCCCTGATGTGCGTTCCCGGTGTACTTGTCTTGGGCACCTCAAAGCAGAACAACACCCCATGAACATGCCACGCGTAAGTGGCTTTGGACAATCCCCAGGCCAAGACATCGATTGACATCGTCTTGCGGTCTGCAAGCTCCTTCCCAAGTCAAGCAAACCTCACAAAAGCCTTCTCCAAATTGTGTTGCGCAGCCTGGTACGAGAAGTGTACACCAGTGGGGAAGCCGTCCTCATGGACAGAAGCATTGCGCCACAGCTTTCAGTTTTCGGGTCCTGAGACACAAGCAAGCAATGATCCGTCAACAAATGAGTCTTTCATCTAGAATTTGTTGGAACCTTGGTGCCCAGAATGCACTTGAATCTTCAGTAAGAAGAGGCTGTCATTTGCTGCAAATGCCGCTCAACGCCGTCCCGTACGTCGACTGCAGGTTCGCCTTCATCTCATAAGCATAATTTTGAGCCTGTCATCCAAGGCCTTGGAGTTTTGACAGCCGAAAGCACCAACCTCCAGACCATGATAATTTCAATTCAGTCCTCTCAGCTCGATCGTGGCCGTTGGTGGGACCGGATGCTGGATGTCTACGAGTGGCATCAGAGACACTAGCGCCAGGACTTCCCAAACGTCATACGCAAGAATTGCTCCACATGCAACAGCCTCACAGGGCCCATTCAGGTGTCCCTTGCTGCTCTTGGCAGCTGGTCAACAGCCTTTTCTCAAGGAAGCAGTTGAAACACACTCCGTTTGAAGCCCTTCCATGCTTTCCTTCTTTCCTTCTTCGCACGGGGTTGAACGTATCTTCTGGATGGCCCCATGGTGGCATTGTGAGCCTGCGCAGCCACTATCAGCCCCTTGCACAAATCTCGTCGAAGCTCAAGATGTCTTGGGCCGCTTAGCCATTTCCCAGGCCCCGCAAAGCTAGTCCGTTGTGAGTGATCTGGGTGTTTGCGTCGCAGGTTCTCCTGTGTACCACCAAAACCCGGAGGCTGTCCCAGGGTTGCCCGACTGTACTGTTGCACTGCCAAGGTCATACAATTGCTCGAGGAGCACAGCAAAGTGGTTAACCCAGGTTTTAGGAAAAAGCTTTGAGCAAGCTGGAGATGGGTGCAAATTGCAGGGAAGATCTCCTGCACACGCAGGCCTGTCGCGAGCTCAGTCTCTATGATGCTTGCTGATAAAAAAACCACTCAAAGATTGTGAGTAGAACCCAGTAGTGTTTTCGAGCGCAACCTGCGCAACGAGCATAAACTGGAATGATTTGCATTGATTGAAGCAGTGCTGGTTGGGTAGGGTCTCAACCAAGCTTGGATTAGAGGCGAGCCGACCGCAGCTGGATTTCTCAAGCATCTCAACTCTCTGAGTTTTTCTTCTCCCATCCTTGAGGGATCATGGAAAGGCTTGGAGTCCAGCAGGCTGATTTGAGCAGCCTTCTTTTGGATAGCCCTCCTGGGATTGAGCGCTGGCTGCGTGATCAGGGTATCGAGCTGTGTGCAGACGTGGCCTTTGGCTGGCGCAATTCGCAGGAGTTCCTTGACGACTTCTCTGCTACTTTGCCGCCAGAGGCGATATGCGATGAGTCTGAAGTTACTGCGCTGTATCAGTCGTGTGTGCGAGTGGCTAGCTCGTCCCAGCAGATCCAGACAGCTGCTTTGGCTGAAGAGAGACTTTCTGTTCATGGCAGAGGGCGCAAGGCGGTTCAGGAACCTTCTCAAGGCAGCTGCCAGCCATCCTTGAAACGTCAGCGAGCGCTGGTGCCGTGGAGGGTGAGCCATTCCACCGTTGCAGTTCGGCCGTCGGAGGCCAGCGCGGCCCGGCCGCTTCAACAGTGTTCCGAGACCAAACGGCGCAAGATATTATTGCTTTTCCGGTTGTGCTGCGAGATTTTCCTTGACATCGGAGAGCTCGGCTTCCCTAACCTGAATTGGGATGACTCAGTGGCCGTCGGTGCTGCGTCGGACCTTGTTATGCGAGCGGCTCTTCGCTTGAGCGAGGCACGTATTGGCATGCTTGCGGCAACGCTGCGACGCTGGTGCAAGTGGTGTCTCCAGCAACGTGTCTCGGCTTCTGAACCGGCGCACGCAGAGCTGGCTCGTTTTCTTGAAGAGGTCGGCCGTGGGGGGCCCACAGCAGCATCTTCAGTTTACCAGGCCCCTCTGTGGCTGAACCAGAACCTGGCAGCAAGGCTACCATTGGATCACTTTATGGTACGCCCGTTTCGATTCTACGCCTTGGGCCACGTGACACGTCAAGCAGTCGAGCTTCAGCCATGGGAATTTATTAATCTGCTGAGATTGGCTACTGAGCTGACAGGTGTCCCGCAGCTACTGCTCTGCTTTACCCTGCAATCAGCGGTGTCTTGTGTTCGGTGTGCCCACGCTCAACGCTCTAGACTTGTCGCGGACCACCGCACGTGGTTGGAGTTCGAGTGTTCTGAAGGAAAGAGCCGCCGCTGTGGTGTACGGCCCCCTTACAGGTGGGCCACGCCATCTGTCATCTTTGGTAATTTTGACCTCTTGCAGCACCTTCGTGATTACTTCAACCTGATCCACTTGCGAGATGCCCCTTTCCTGTGGCCTGCGGTGGAGCTGAAGCAGGAGGACCTCTTTCAGGTGGTGGAAGGCTCTCGCCTTTTGCTGCACAAGAAGCTTCCTGGTAAGCTGTTGCTTGAGTATCTTCGTGGGTGTCTGCAACGCTGTGGAGTCGCGCCTGCTGTAGCTGGGGCGGCTACCTACAACAAGCTGAGGCGGTTCCTGCCAACAGGTGCTAACGCTCTTGCCATGCCGGACTGAGGCGCAGGCTATTGGATCTTGGGTTGAGCTTCCTAAGGGAGGCGAATCTGGTGAGCGAGGCAAGAAGCAGGAAAGGATGGCAGTGCGCTATTCTGGTCAGCGAGTCCTGTCCTCCTGTCGGCCCTGCTTAGGCATCCCTTGGCGCAGAGTGGCGTGTCGAGCCAGCTAGCTCCGGCTTCCTTCTGCTGCCATCATATCAGGGAGCAGCCCGAAAGCACTGCAAAGCCTCGGCCGGCTTCGTCCTCCTCTTCTGACCCGGCGAGCTCTTCATCATGTGAGGATGATCGACATTGGGCTGATGTGGCATGCTTGGCTGAGACGGCTTGGTTTTTGCAGGGCCAACGAGTCCATTTGGTTAGAGAGACGGAGGAGGCTTCCCTGGTGCCGTGGTGTCGTAAAGCACCTTTTGTTCAGGCTCCAACGCGCCAGGGCCAGGACTTGACATCTCAGTCTGTCAGTCGTTTGTGCCAGCGCTGTGTCTCGGCATGCCCGGCCAGCCTGCGTGTAGCCATTAGGGAGGCCAATCGGGAGGCTGTGTGCTGACAATGCTTCATGCTTGCAGTGGGCAGCTCTTGCCAGCGCTATGTGTGCTTGCCATGTGTGCATGTCGAGCCTCTCTTGTATGTAGTCATGGCTGTCTTTATGACAGACGAGGAACTGCGCCGCCTTGTGGAGGCCTGGCCTGTGGACTTCCGGCGAGCTGTGCTGGCGATCTTGATCTCCGTGGGGGTGACAACAGCAGCACGCCATCGGTGGCTTCGATGGATCCACCCATTGTGGTTCGTCGCCCGGGGTTTCATTGTGGCATCCCGTGCCCCTGCTGTGAGGGCCGTGGCACTTGCAATCGATCTGGACCGCGTAACCACCACTCCTGCTTGGCATGTCGGCGCCTTCAGCGTCGTGAGAGGCATCGGCAGTAGCGCGTCTTTAGGCAGCTGCATAGGGTCATTTGCAG